CCCCCCCCCCCCCCCCCCCAATTACACTTCCCTCAAAATGAAGCGGAAACCGTGGAAGCGTCGTCACTTTGGCCAAGGAACAGTTGCTGCCGATTCCAGAAGCGGATACCTTAGAATCCTAATGGACGTACAGACATGCCTTGGAACTTGATTAGCTGAAACGTGAGTAGGCTTGAAGGACCAAGCGTGCTCTCTAAGGCGCTGTTTGTGGCTCATTGTCTGCCTGACAGCATCTACGGACTGCAAAGTCTCGAGAACACGGAAAGCTCTGGGATGTTTGGTCTTATCATGTTTCTCACAAGGTGCGAAAAGTTTCCCTCCCACCACCACCGCCGCCGCCACCAAAACCACCTTTTTTGTTTATTGCTCTTACTCTTGCTTGCTCTGTACTGCTAGTGCTGTTACTACTTAAGATTAACTTTCAGCTGTTTGCCATTTTATTGCAGCGTTTGAATGCAGAAGACCAGAACACAGCACATTGCATGCAAGCCGAAGGACTTTGCACACTTCTGGCAGTTTGGGCTTTGCAGCCCTCAAAGACTCTGAGATTCTGGGCCGGATACATGAAAATGGGAGAAAGGGACAGAGTGGCAAAGAAGACCCCTCTCGGCTTTGAGCAGCCCTGCAGCTTGAGCATGTCATCTCCGAGCGTGGATTAGTGCATTTTGAAGTAGAACACAGATTTCTGATTGGCGGTAGCTGCACGAAATTGTCAGGCTCAGCAGCCAGGCAGCACGGGCACATCTGATAGGTTTGGAGGGCAAGTCAACATGCAATGGCAGTTGATACATTCTTCCGAGCGTGTTGTTTTCTTGCTAGGATGAACAGAAGATTTGGAGGAAATCACATTTTGAAATAACCGCAGAGCTTTTTGGGTGCAGCATTGATGAGCCAGCTTGCTCATCAAAGTAGGTGTCTGTAAGCAAGCAGAAGTCGAGCAGCAACGGATGTACTTCTCGGCGACCTGGAGGCGGCCCCCGCTAAGTCGCCCAGATCTGCTAGCTAAGTGTGCGTGTGCGATGTCATGTGAGTTGTCGAAGTCGGGCCTTTCCAGCGTGTAGCTGCCATGCCTGCACACCTACTGACCTACTGTCTCACTCCACCTCACGGTGCACCTTCCCTTCTCAATAACTTCCCAGTTAGCAGTCCACGTCAAGAAAGCACAACTATGTCAGCAACGCGTTTTGCCAAATGACCGCAGTTTTGTCAGACTAGAAGCTTGTCAGCAGTTCTTTGCCAAGCTTGAAATGCTGCCATGGCGCCCTGCACCTGGCTTTCGTGACCATGTCGGTGCTGAGAGCGCTGCAGAAGGTGCAGAAGGCCGCGGCAAAGCCAGGTATCTGGGCAAAGCATTGGCATCCTACTCTAAGGGCGCACTGCATGGCTCAAGCGCAGCAATTGAGGAGAGGGAGAGAGAGAGCCATGTTCTGTCCCAAGGTGCGCTGTATCACCAATACCTGCAGGTTTACGCAGAGCACAAGGGGACATTCAGAAGCATTGTGGAAACAGCGGAGTTCATTGGCGTGATCTTACATGCGCGCTGCAAGGACTCCTACCCTTCATGATATTGCTTCCGTTTTGGACCACCTCCGGAGGAACTTGCGGGAGCAGGACCTAACAAATTCTGAAAAGTCAGAGTTCAACATGTCCCGTTTCGTGATGCAAAGTGATTTTGAGTGCAATTCTTGGTGTTGATGGTGAAAGGATCAGACCAAAAAGAGGAGGCCACCGTCACCGAGAGAGCTGCAAAGCAGGGTGATGGAGTGCAAGAAGCACGAAGGCCAGACAACAGCATGTACCCACGCTAAAAACAATCTGAGAGTGCTTGCATGACAGCGTGTCCTGCCAGTCTCATGCCAGAATCAGAGCTGCCTTCACGGCATGCATCGTCAGAGCGATGAGAGACCTCGCCTCACAGGCTACGCAAAGCTTCGAGATCACATTTTCGAGCCTGAAGACAAGTTGTCAAACACCTCTGGGCTGCTGCTATCACGAATATACAGCAACCTTCGCAGGCACATGTCTCGTGCAGGAGACTTCCACTTGAGATAATTTCATATGAGACCCAGCGAGGATGAACCTGCATGATGACGCTGACCGTCTGTGGCCTTTTGTCGAGAAGCAAGCCGCTAGAGGCCAGACCCTGGTCAACTTTGAGGGGAGCATGTGTATCGCTGCGAATGCAAAAGGCAACATGGAATTCGCAGATCTCCTCTCAGTCTGGAGAACCGCGCCGCGGGAAAAGCTCCAGTCTTTGGATCCCAAACTGGCCAAGGCCTTCAATTTGCACTTGATTTTGGTGAAAGGGCAGTTTCCACTTGCAAGTCGGCCAGGCAATGCAGCAAGTCCGCCAGATGAACGAGCTGTCGCTGAAGAGTGCACCCTTGCAGCAGCAATGCGTCAATATGTTCGCATCTTTGAGATGTCTCCTCAGCCGTGCCGCCCGCAAGGTTTTAACTCGCGCAGGGGAACTGACTTCGACAAAGAAGACTTCTCAGGTGGTTCCTTTGTCCGCGAGGTTGGTGAGCCAGCAGCTGCAGGCGCATAGTGTCGGAGTGTCGGAATCTGTTCCTTCTGCGTAGGCTGTAGGACAGTCTAGGATTATAAGCCACAGATACACCAGGTCACCAGGACTTCAGGGGGTTGCAGTACTAGTTCTGCTGCTTTCAAAATACTTTACAACACACCACAATCAACACTTAGAGTCATGGGGAGTGGAGCATACCTTCACAGAAGACCTAGACTTTCACTATTTTGCAGAACACTCGGTTGCAGAACGGGTCCGTGGCTTGGGAGTGGTCACTTCTGCTGGTTCAGCAAGGACTTCCAGATTTAGGTCCAACTCACCCAGGGAGCAGTAATGGAGAGCCGCTGATTCAGGACTTTACTTCTGAAAGCTTGGCCGCGTTTGTCCCACTACTCCATCAAGCTATTCAGCAGGCCCGGCGCTTGCACATCCAGTGGCTCAAAAGCATCCACATGGTCTGAACAGGGCGCGAAAATCAACCCGGCGGTTCTGTCGCGCATCAAGCAAGAGCTTGTCAAGCGAGGCACGCTGTGCATTTTTTTTGTCAAAATGATCCAAAATGCAAACCCCAGGCTAGTGGATCTGATGTCCCAAGATCTGTATGTCTGCCACAGCTGTTGGCAGGTGGGACCTTGGAGACAGATGCTATTTCCAACGTTTTGCCCATCATAGAGACCGTCCAGGATGATCTGTGGGTGCTTGCGAGGCCACAGGGTAGCGAGGATGCCCTATACGCTAAGATTTGCAGAAAAAAGCAACATGACTATGAAAAGCAAATGAGGATCAAATTCAAAGCCCGGACGGCTTACCCATGTGGAACATGATGCAGCTAGTGCAAAAGGAAAGACAGGAGAACATGCTGTGCATCTTAAGATCCAGATGCTTTAATTTGCAGTATTTGTCACAACCGAAACTACATATGCAGTAGCCCGAAGAGCTCCAAATGCTGTAGTTGTGACATCTTAACCTGCAGTGGCTGCAGCCATGTAAGACCTGCAGATGAATCAAATTGCTGTATCCGAAGCTTTGGAAGAGCTCCAGCAGCTGTAATTCATTTGGAGCTGTTGCTCCCGTTTCAGACCTCCAAATTGTCATTCGCAAGGTTGTTCTCGCGCGGAATGACATCACTTCCAACACGACTCAGCCGGTAATGACAGTTATGAGTGTTCAAATGCTACCACATTCCCAAACTAAACGGTTTGCGGCAGGGCTTCCCACGCAGTTCTGCGCTGTTTTGAAGGGTGTCCTCAAACATGACCCAGTACGACTGATGAATCTTCAACTGCGGCCATGTTCCTTAGTGGTCTGAAGGGGGTCTTTGAGCCCCACAGCCCCACTTCCAATGCTGCACCGGTCCTCAATGCTTTGGAAAGTGACAGAAAGCTGCATCTAACCTTAGGCCTCCAGATTAGCCTGTTTTGATCGATTGCGGATTCCTCACCTCTACTTAGTTTTCTGCATTGGTGGGATGATCTGCCGACCGCATGGACTGCAGACCTCGTCAGCTACAGGCAGTCGCTGCTGAAACACGTCCAGGACCTGCCGCAGTAGACCCAGCCTGGCTTGGGGCGTGCGAAGCATTGGCAGTGTAATGCTGTGTCTTTGCCAAGGCTGCAGAATGCCCTGGACTTGTTGCAGTTTCTGCAACGCGCAGGGCCTGACGAAGGCAGGAGCCGTTGCTGGCTGTGTTCTGACACGTTCATTAATTTGCCTGCTGCATGCGCGCTAGTTGCTGTAGACAGCTAGAATGCGCCAGTGGCTGAAATTGCCTTGACTGAGTGCAGCACTTCAAGTACAGCAGTACCTCCTGGAGAGTCCAACAATCATCTTGGCTTCGTGTCGCAACGACATCGCAGCAGACAAACTCCAGGTAAAAAAGTGCACAGCAAAGAGATGCATGCATTCTGCGCCTAGGCGAAAAGGAGCTCAAAGGCAAACTCGTGCAGAAGTTGGCGTCGATCTTGACGACTGGCTTTCCGGATCCAAATGAGGTGGACACAGTCACAAGGCAAGCAACCTTTCCTCAGCCTGTAGCTGGGCTCGGTAAGCGTCTCGTCTGTGGCACATGGCTTTGAAAGAGCAGCTGCCTGCCCAAACAATTGGCAGGAGACTGGAGGTTGTTTCCTCCTATGAAAAAGTGTGTTTGGCCTTGCTGAACGCTGGCATCAACCTGAGACAGGCCAAGCGCTCCCTGCACGGAAACAGTGTCTTGCAACCTGTGCGCATCTGTGCGCTTCCAGTTCTTCTGCCCTGAGGATCTGTATCCAGCAGTTCTGTGGCGCTTGTTCGTCCGCGCAGGCATTGTGCCGCAAGCAGAACCATTGCAAATCATTTCGCTACTTCTGCAGCCTCAGCAGGCATTGCTAGAGAGCGAGATGGGCTGAGGCGAGACAGGCCTTGGAGCAAAACACGCAAAGCTCCGGCCGCGTTTTGAGCGGATCAGCACCTTGGCAACGAACCCGGTTGGAGGAGGGTAGAGGTGCGAGATGGTGCGAGCCTGAGCCCGGTAGGCTCAGCATTTCTACATGTTCTTTACGTGATTTGCATTGCGGAGGCCTTCCACATGGGTACCTTTTTCTTTCCGTGACTGTACACCTTGTGGCCAAAGACGGCAAACCAAGGCAAGATACTGGAGTCGCATGCCGTCCGCAAGGAAAGGATGTCCATGGACGAGATGTTGAAAGCAATGCGTGCCATCAGAGCGAACAAAGTCAAAATGCCCAAGTGTGCCCGGCAGATCGCGGAGCACTTCCTTGATGTACTTCGGAAGGCTGAAATGCATGTGGATGATGTCCACGCAACGCTTGAAGGAACTCTTGAAGGGAACGACGCAGATGGGGCGCCTGTAAGTCTCAGCGAGAGCGAGGTGAGCCACGACGATGCAACGGCAGGTGGTGTAAGCGGACAACCAGAGGCACAAAGCTTTGCCCCTGTGCAGGTTTGCTTGATTGAGCGTAGGGTTTGAGAAAACAGGTCTTGGGCATTTTTTGGCATCACGTGTTCCCTGCAAGAAAGTCACGAATCTTTCGCCCAAAGTCCTTGCCTCCACAAAATGCAGGCTTCATCTTCCGCCCAGACTCCAGACACTGCTATCCCTGCAGGCAACAATTGCCCAAGAAGCCACATCTCCAGCAGAGCTTCTGGCCAAAGACCCTTCGATGCATTCATCTCCAAGCCTGACCTTTGCAAAAATGGAAATGGGATAATGGAAAATCAAATGGAAGCTACTATAGTACATTGGGGTTTATATAGGGATAATGGAAAATAAAATGGAAACTACTATAGTATATTGGGGATGAGCACCCCATTCAAAAGGAAGCAGGTCTTACATTAGAGTGGGGTGTCTACCAGACTATGTATGGCTAAGGTGTTTGGTCCTGTTGGGAGGCTTGGAGGGCTCGCTCAACACCAGCCCAAAACCCCTGGCCCATACCCCAGACACCTACCATTCAAGACAGAACCCGGCAGATTTCAAGAACAGAGATTCTAAGCCCCGAGACCAGCAGTAGACAAGCGCTTGAAATGAAAAGCGTTTTTACTGCAAAACTACAATTCCATGCGAAAATGTCGACATGAGCGGTCACCACAGATTCCACAAACAGGATCAGGATGTACTTCCGTTCATCCCAAAGCACCCCAGAAAAAGCGCACTAGTCTGTGGGCACATGATCAGGTGCAGCAGCTGGTGCTTCTTCTTCTGCCAGAGCTTGCGCGGCAGGACGTCGACATGGCAGAGATGAAGCAGGCGGCAGTCAGCATCTGCAGCGCAGAGAAAGACAGCCTCTCAGCAAGGCGGAGGGATGGTACCATTGTTGGCCACCATGTTGCATGTCTCTGGCAGCATATTTGCAAGGGGGTGTTGTCCGTATTGAGGTTGGAGCTAGACAGGTGTTTACCGCGATGCATTCATGTCCGCCTAACTATCCCAACTAACTGTGCTCTTTCCGGGTGGTGTGCGGGGCGCTCCGTATCAAACAAGTTCTCACTTCGGTACGGTCAGTTGCCACACGTAGCAAGCTTGGCCAAACACCCTTCAGGGCAGCTATGGACTGCTACGCTGAGCTTGCTGTGCCTCGGCTGAATGTCAACAGATTGCTGTGGTGAACGACAGCACGGCTTTCCATGCACAGGCTACAGGGCTTCGAGATGAGTTTTGCCCAATGCTTTCCCAACGGCTTCAAACACAGCTTACATTGCTGGCGCCCAGCGAGCTGATGCAGATGCCCTCAGATGCACACCCTGATCTGCTACCCTTGGCCGCTGCATACTGTTTCAGCACATTTTACCAAAGAGTGTTCAATCATCTTTGCCCTTGGCTGGTGGGTCCGGTCGCAGCTGAGGTCTTTAATGAGATTGAAGCAAGGCTAGCAGACGGAAAACTGGATCTTGCATCCGACAGCGCCACAACCGTTCTTGCGAACATAATTCACGGGATCCTCGCTGCGGTTGGGTCCTGCGATCCGATGTTGCTGAAGTCGTTGACCAGCAAGGCAGGAAGCGGTAAGGGTGGCCCCATCAATAATTGTTGAAAGGTAGTGAAATGAAGGATGCGATTATTTCAACACAGCTGGCGATGCCAACCAAAGTCACAGTCAACCTTCCACATGCGGAAATTGAGTCGGTGAGCAGTCAAGGCCTCGAATGCGTGTAGCTCCTACCAGCTTCAAGACAAATTCCAACACCCCATCCTAACTGTCATAACAGCTCTTAAACCCTTAGATTTGACATTGGCATCAGCCTAGTGTCGCCGATATGAAGTTCTCGGCCCATCAGGGTGCCTTGACACCCAGCCCCAACAATGAGACGTTGAGTAGAGGGTTAAGCATGTTTGGCTGTATGAGCTCCAAAGTCTTCAAAGTTGATAGGCAGCCAAGTACTGTAGGTGTGCGGAGATTTTTGGCAGGTTGTTGATTTGCTGGCTGACAATACTGCGACAAGAGTTCGTGATGACCCTGTGGCAACGATGCGTGTCTTTCATGCTGCCTGTGCATGTCTGGCGGCCTTCGGCCTTGACGGGACGCAGCTGATGCAGCCTCTCCGAGAAAATTTTCGAGCTCTCTCGTCTGACATGCCTGGCTGGCAGTGCGCTGACACTGTCGATCTGGTCTTTGGCCTTGCTTCAGTCTATCGCGGACAACTTCCTTTCGATGTCTTGGCTTATTCTTGGCAACTGGCTGGCCGAGACGCTGAGCCTAGTCTGCACTACAAATGTTTGAGAGAAGAAATCAGATCTGGATCGGTTGGCTGAGGCGCGGTCGCCTGATCAGACCATGGTGGGAAATCCAAAGCTTTGGGCCTTCGTCCTGGCAGGGCAATACCTCTTCTCTGAGACTGTCTCTGCTTCCCTCCGGTAATTTTGCTGCAAATTTGGACAGGCAGTTATCATATCATTGTTCTCGCGCGTGCTTTCTGAGCCTCAAGGCTTGCGCCTCATGCGCCAGCATTGGACCCATCTCTTGCTTTCTCCCAGAAGGACCGGCAATCGCAAGACGTGAGATGCCTCGATAGGTCAAAGGTTCGATTTCTTTGAAGGTCTCCCAGCTGCCGTCCTTCACACTGGAAGCGGATCCAGAAAGTCAGGCGGAATTGCCTGCTGCTGCAATTTTTTTTTTGAGAATGCAATGCTTCAAGTCGAATCTTATCAATAATGCCAGCTGATTCCTGCCGTCCTCGAGTTTCTGGCGTTGGACAGTTGCAGCCAGGCATTGGTGAGGCAACTACGCCTTGCCCTTCCTGCGGCATTGCCGGCGCAACCTGGCACCGAGCGGTTTCAGGCGTTGCTGCATGACAGCAAGTTGTCTGGTCACACATCCGTGTCCTGCAGGTGAACGGCACACCGTACGTGGCAGACTTTGGCTTTGAACAGCCGAGGGCTGAGCTTTTTCAAGGTGATCGTCCAATGACCATGCGACACAGACCTAAGGCTGAAGACCCTCTTGCTCGTCCCCAGGAAGGTTCACACCGCCGGCTCCAAGCAGCTCAGTGGCTTCGGTCATCTCATGGAGTCAACCCTAGAGGCCTGCTAGCCTCCTTTCCGGCATGAGTCGTATTTGCTGGAGGGCTGCCTGGATTTCGAAGGCGATGGGATGGCGCACGCTTTGGGCCTGGCCGGAGGATTGGCAGGCGCTGCACCAACAGCCTCCAAGCAGTGATGCTCTGGAGGCGTGGCAGCGTGTCCTCCGCATGTTGTATGTTGCTACAACACATGAACAGGCCCTCCGTGCCAGAATTGAAGGGGGCGCAGTTGAGACACTGCAAGAAGTGGAGCCTGATACGACTGAAGATTCCAGAGGAGTGGAAGGCCAGTCTTTTCAGTCCAAGCGGTCTGAGCATGCATACTGCATGGGTTTTTTCTGTAGGTGAAGCGGTTGCTGCGGATGACGAAAGCCAAGCTCTGCCTAAGCCTGGGGCCGAGCCTGAAGAGGTTCCCAACGCTCAGCCTGAAGAGGTGAAGCCCGAGCCTGAAGGGCTCCAGCCTCAGGAGGCGAAGGCAGAACCCACTGCGACTGTGGACGGTGGATTGAAAGAGGCAGCAAATGCTGCATGATTGCTTGTGCTAAAAAGACCTGCAGCCGCAGCAGCTCAGAACAGGTTGGCCGTTGACCACAGGTGCCTCTCTGCCTCTCCATAGTTCGGTCTCGAGATGTCAGATTAACTTGACGCATGCGGGGATGCATGGTCCTACTCGAGATGTGTCGTTCGAGATCGCATAATGCAGGTTTGGCTGAGGCAGTTGAACATGAGAGTGCGGCCTTGTTTAACACGCTGCTTTCAGCAGGAAGCACCCAACGAAGCCAGAGGCAGGGCCGCATGGGCACACATACATGCTGGCAGCGTGTGCAGATTCAGGCAGGATTCTGCAGAAAGTGTTCTCAATCACTCCTCATCACCTGACACGAAAGGTTTGCTTCAGATCTACAACATAACTACGCAGCAGCTAACATGCTTTGGCTTTGCAGGGCGGTAGATTCAAGGCCCTACCGCAAAGGGCACAGCAAGGTCCCAAGGAAGCGGTTGCGTGTTACTTGCATGATCTGCTGTGCGTCAGCTTGCCTGCGCCAAGTGTGATTGCCAGGGCCTTTTGGCTGACATAGTTCTACATGCCCTTAGCTGCACGGTAGATACTCAGTAGAGAGCAGCGGGCACAGCACTTTTGCGGACCTGTTTGACTGTACTTGGAACAGCTGGCAGCTATGCAGCATGACTCTACCTTCGGGCCGCGGACCATCGACGATCATTTTTTTTGTTTTTACAAGAATAAGAAGGGAAGGGCAAGGCATCAGGCATCGCAAAGATGGACCGTTCCCATTGACATGAGAGGGTTCTGCCGTTGGTTGGCCCTTCAGAGCTGGTTCTTTGCATGTGCTACGCCGCTGGAGGAGGCAGCAGATTGACAGATGCACAGCAAAACCATGGCACTTCACACACGATAGACAAAGAACAGTTTCTTCTGCGCTTTCCAGGACCTGCGGCGGATTTGGACACAGGCTGCTTGGCTGCCACCAGCTGCACACTGAACTGATCTAAACCTTTACTGCAATATCTCATGCAGCGTCGGTGATTTTCAGCTCCTCCGCATTTGAGCTCCAAACGCGCTAGCTAGGAAGGGGCACAATTCAGAGGTCGCTTGCACAGATCCAGGATGCGGCCGTGTCAGAAAATACTGTGTGCTCCAGCTTCAAATATTAGCAAGTCCTCAACGAAGCCAGATGGCGCAGAAAGAAATTGATGAACCTGTACCCCAGACTTGCAAATAAAGAGTCCATATCTTATGCGTGGCGCTTGGACCGGGATGAATAAGGCCAATCAATGGGGGACTGTTATGCTGGTGGTGATGCTGGTGATGGCAGCGGTGATTGCCATGTTGATAATGCTGATCAACTCTTGGGGAGCTGTACTTCTGTCATCTTCTGTCGTTGGCCTTTGTCAATCTTGAGCCGGGCTGGTTGGACTTAAGGTCTTGCCCACTGTCCAAGCCGGAAGCCTTCCATTGCTCGTTCGCGAGCTACAGCCCAAGTCCAACAGCTATGTCGCAGCTGACCTCGTGCAGCCTGCGGGAGATCAGCAGGCAAGGCTAGGTTGCAGCTTGTAGTTACGAAAGCTCACATTTGTGAAGACGATACTTTGGTGACATCAGTAAGTTGACGAACTGGTTGAAATGTCGGCATGTGCTACTTGCTGCTCTCATCTGTCTGCCACAAGCTCGGCAGGACTGCCTGCTGCTTGATGTCTTTCAAGCAAAAACCAACACTGGCAACGCAGCTTCCAGCTTGCAGCTGGACGTGGCATCGTTACAGTCAGGACCTTATGTGACTTGACATGCACATACTACAATTATTGAATCTAGGTTCCAGTCCCCAACAACCTTAGTGTAGCTGACTCACTGACACACAGCTAAGCATTGATGTAAAGGCGGGGTGGGGTTGTGCCTTCTTGGTCAAGCTGTTGCAAGGCCTACTGTCCTTTCCGCGTCTTCTGGACGAAGGGGCGCGGCCTGTCGCTTGATTGGGTCTCAAAAGAGCCGCGTCTATGTGACCTGTACCACGTCCTTCTCATAGAGGCCGGCTGCGAAGCAATGCACTGCTTTAAGATGTTTTCCCGTGCCAGGACGAGTTCATTTTGGAAAGCTTCCGACGAGCCCCACCTGCTTGCCGAGTTTTTCCACTAGATCCGCACGAGGAACGTGACATACGCCGCAGACGCTTCAACAACTTGGCAACTTTTCGGTCGCAACATGTCTGATGTGAGTCGGCGCAGGCACCAGAGTTGCCATTGGTGTCCCTGCCATGGGCACCTGGAGAGCCTTTGCCAGAGCTCAATCGTGTTGTGTCCTTTCACGCCTACAGCGTGCCCTGGCACTCAAAGTCACTGCTGGGATCTTCTCGGATCCTTTCTCTCCGGATCTTCCCAGTATCAGCAGTGTTGAAACTGTACAACAGGTGTACATGCCGGAGGCTCAATGGAACCCACAGAGGTGGCTGCAGGCAGATTTTGTCAGCTGAGCTCGCTACAAATGCTTCATGACATTGGCGCGCAGGACCCGGACTTCTGGAATGCACATTTCATGCAGCTGATGCAGCAGGGCATGCTGAACATCTGCCTAACAGAGGAGAGTTGCCAGGCAGTTCGTACTTGAATAGACTTGTTCCTCATTGGACTTATTTCCTGCAGCTCTGCGCTCGGTGCCATGATGCTAGTGGAAATATGTCCTGCATGATATGTACAAACTCTGTTGTCGCACGTTTTTGCAGTGTCTCTCCGCGTTTTCCTGACGATGTCGACTGCGGCAGGGCGATGCTGCGCCATATCGACTGATGTTCTGGGAGGATATCAGCACAGAATTCTTGGAGTGTGTTGCTAGGGGCATAACTCCAATTTTTCTGGGGACGCCATCCATCCACGAGTATGTGGAGTCTTGGACTCAAAGAGCTCTGCCCTCTCCAATCGGCCGATTGAGGCCAACCAACTCTAGCTGCCAGCTTCGTTAGCTGCGTCTACATTGAATCGAAAAGAACGGCCTGAGGAGAGGAACGTCCTTCTGACACGCTGGCGGTTCGAGACTGCAGCCGAGATGGTGGGCATCATCAACACTGTGCACTCGCCACAGGCCCATATCCACGCAACTAATTGATGAAACCATCGCAGTACGTAAGCGCTCAAGTTGTGATAGCTGCTCCATTGCAAGTAGCCTTATCCTGCCAGGGCGTTCTGGAACATGGAACCCGCGTGTTCATGGAGCGCCAGGGCAACTACTTCTTAAGCGTCCTGGCACTAACTTGCTTTTTTCTTGCAGCTAGGCATGGGTGCCCGAGGGTTGTTCCATCTCCTTCCCGTCTTAAACTTTGTTGTAAACTCCAATGCCGTTGAAAACGGGGATTCCTGTAGCAAGTCGTGTCTCAGTTGGCTCTTGCAACGCCACATTCTGTGCAACCTACATGATGTTGACATCAAAACTGACATAAAGCCAGACATGCAGATCTTTAAATGTTCTTTAACCTTGGACCTTTGAAACGCGAAGCTTGGCTGCAGGTCGTCTTTATTGGCGTCAGGATCCTGGACTACGAGCGTTGCTACTAGCTAGTGCTGCTCAACGACAGCAAAGGTTACAAGCCTCAGTGCAGGCAGCGAGAAGACATCCGTCAGCAGGTAGCAATTTGTGTTGAAAATGATGTAGGTCGCGAGCTCGGAGTATATCATGGAGATCGTCGTTTGCGTAGCTTCTGCAGCTCAAAACCGACTCTCGCCAAAAGCAGCATTAGTTAATCCATACACAGGCCAAGAATTACAGCCTCCTTGGAGCAGTCAGCGATATCTTTATTTCTCTAGTAGTGCATGGAAGAGACGAAAGGCTGATATCTTGGAAAGCGTGGGGAGTGGTGTGCAAGGGGGCAGGTCGAGCGCGAGTGATTTCGGCCAGCAGCGGGTTTTTCTGGGCGGGCCAAGCGGACCACATGTGGCTTTAGAGAGTACTGAAGCCCCATGGATATCGTTTGAAGTCAGCACCGTACAGAGTAGTCAAGACAGAGTAGAATTTAAACCCTGTGCATTACAAATCCCTGGAAAGCACAAGCCCAGCACATCGTTCTTTTTGCGTCTGCTTCAACATAACTGCGATTAACTGCGATTTGTGGGGTTCCTTGCGCGTGCGAAGGACATGCACGTGACATTGTCCGCTCAACCTGGGGCAGTGAGCCGTACTTGCGCACTGCCTTTGGCCCAATTCTGCTTCGAGACACTCAGCCTTGTTTTGGCTGCCCTGGTTCCATGGCGGTGCTTCCTTGCAGATATCTTGTGGATTGAGTGATGCTGCTCAGGTCCTTTTCTTCTTAGGACACAGCACGGAAGCCACTGCTGAGCACAGGGAGATGGGTGACATCGTGTGACTTGCATGCAAAGGTTTTGTTGTAGCACGTTTCTCATTTTTACGTTCACAGACCCGGCCACTATATCCTAGGTTACTGCCAGACCTCATTGAAAGCTTTAGCAGCATTTGGCTGAAGACTGCAGCCATCCTTAAGTTCGGCGCGGACTACTTCAAGGCTGCGCCTTTGTTCCCGCAAAGCGCATATGCAAGTTTCCCACAATTATTTCTAGAATAGAATTTCAGACAGGGACCCCCATAATCATGCCATAACCCTTCTGTGATCTCCATTCATGCCCCTAGCGTCCATCAAAGTATCCCTTTTTCGAGAGACCCCCAAATGATGCTTGGATCCGTTCGAGGGACTTGCAGAGCCTGGTCGCAACGCTGCTGGGAGGTCAGATGCTTGCACCATTCAGAGGATTCTCAAAAAGGGTAGCCTAAGAATCCCCAAGGCATCGCAGGAATACAAAAGATGATACCTGGGGATGGTAAAGTATTCTGCGGGTCCTCGATAGGAATTGACAAGGATTATTTTGAGAACTCCCCATGTTTCCGCGGAGTGAGACTGGAAAGCTGACTCGGCCGATGGGCGTGTTCCAGAGGCTGCGGTTTCTCATCAAGTGTGATGATGACGCCTTCCTCGACATTGATGCCGTGGCTGCTGACCTCATCGCAAGTGCGCCTGTAGGTGGGCCTGAGTAGCATTCTAGGGTTTTGGGGATTATGCATTTTGCCCCTAGTGAATTTACCGGCTCTCCACTAATTTGCGGCTGATTTGGCAGGCCTGCTGTGGGGCCATGTGACCCAGATGGCTTCAGATCAGCAATCGCACTCCCCATGCCACGGTACAACTTAGAAATTTGACAAATCCCAGGTGATGGCCCTCGTGGAACCAAATAGAAATGCATCTGATAAATACTTCGTCCCCTACGAGGCGCCTTGGCCAAGGCACAGTCTGGATTTCCTGAATAATGCCTGACCAAGCTGAGGTTTATCCAATGCAGCTGCTCGGACGTTAAGAACCAGGATAAAGAGAGAGGAGGCCGGGTAAAATCAGCTGAGCCTTGCACCTTTTGCAAGGTACTATCCGCCGTACGCTCGAGGAATGGCATATGCGCTTTCGGAGGATGTGGTTCTTCCAGTGGGTACTGCCCTACAGGAGGGCCGGCTAGACCCCTTTCCTTACAGGGAGGACGTATCTGTTGGTCTGTACATATTGGAGTTAGCGAGACGTGGCAGTGCAGCTTGTCAGAAACTTCCAGAGTCAGAAGTGTATCAAAGTGGGCGTTCGTCTAGACGACCCGGCCCTGACTTCCACTGTGCTGGGCTAGCAAAGGTACGTGTGGTTCCACATCAGCGCAAAGACGCTATGCCACTAGAACCGTTGGCTGCAATCTTGCCTCTTTTTTGTGAATGTTCCAAGCGCGGCTGCTCTTTCGTAGTGCAGCTCGCGGAATCGCATCGTTCCTGACCCTGCAAACTGAGGACTTTAAGGAACACTGCGCAGGGCCTCAGAGCCAGCATCCAGTCCTGGTGATGCATCGAGGCTTGACGCGGCAGTAATGTTTTGGTGGGACGGTGGGTTGCAGTGCAAGAGATGAACATCAAGGATGCCAAGGCAGGCCAGCATGGATCTGAGGATTCATCCCTGCCTCCGCGCAATGCTTATGGCAGCTGGTGCAGGACTGACGGTCCGAGTTGGTGATTCTGTGAGCCCCACTCTGCATCTCTGTGCAACCGTATTCCAAGCACCTCACGTCCGACCTTCCAAACCAACCAGTCAGTAGGAGGAAGGTTCCAAGTAAATCTTCAGGATCCAATTTGGGCTGAAACCTGTCCTACATCCACAGGCTTCAGAAGTATTCCGAACGAGAAGAGCCACTGCGTCAAATGGTCTGTCTCAAGGCTAGTTGAGGTCAACCACACACATCCCCGGAACCATTCAGCGCGCTTCCCCGCAAGGTGCCCCTACCCAAAATGTGAGGTATTTTATGACTTTGCAGGAGCGCCGCCGTGACCTGGCCAAAGGTGCTGCGCGCGATGCAGATTTCTGCATGTGCTCGCGGCCGCTCAGAGGCAAGACAGGCAGCAGCAGAAATGCTGAACGTATACAACATACGCGAACAAATTACACAAGGAGTGAAGAAGTAGGGAACACCCATCGGGGTCGCACATTTTGGTGTCCAAAGGTTGTGGATGTGCGAGTCATGCTCGTAGGGCATCACAAGATATCATAGACAGAACAGAGATCGAGTTGTGCGGCGTGCGCGATCTGAAGACATAGACATAGCCGCCCAGCACTTTCCTTTGCGGCCTTCAGTGCCCATAGACGAAACGTTCTCATGTTCACGCATTGGTTGCAGCAAATGGGGAAGCTAAAAGCAGCAGGGAGAAGAAGAGTGATGCCGATTAAGCAGAACAAGCCCACTTGCAGCGATTCTGCGCAGCTTGCGGCAGAAGAGTGAAAGCTGCAGAGAGAGAAGCAATTGCAATATTGTAGAAAGGCTGCAGTAGAAGAGGACTACAGCTCATGACTTTTCAGTTCATGGGCAAACCAAGGCTAGACAGACGTAGACGGGGCAAGTGTTGGCATGTGGCAAACATGCAATTCTGATGTTGGCAAATTACGTGTAGTCCCAGCATGACATTGAGGTCTGCTGGACAGGCGCTCTGACTGCTGGCTGCCGAGAGAAAAGAAGAGGAGTCTGCTTCAGACCCCGTGCATGTCGCAAGGCAGCTCGAAACAAGCCTTGTTCTTTGAGATTCGCATGTCACAACTGTTCCACTTGTTGCTCACATCATTATGTCTAACTTGAATGGGCACCACAGCTGCGCCGCTGGCCGCCCGCCCGCGCTGATAATAAGGGCATAAGGGCCATGTCCACCTGACACAACTTCATGGGGATGGATTTCAGTCCCAGCGCGGAGGATAGGGTCGAGTCATTTGTTGCTGGTACACGCACCCCTGTTGAGCTTCACACTTGTACACATATGCGCTTTAACGTAGTGTCACACATTGACATACGTGGACAGAGAAACATCGGCTCGCGCGCACATCTGCCTCGCTTCTACGTTACCTGATCCTTTTACATCTTTTCCCGTGGTCAGTATACGAATGCCTGCTCTTGGCGTCCCTCCCTCCTGCTGTCAGTGTGGCCTGCCCGTACCGACCAGTAGCATTGCAGCATTGTGTCATCACGCGGTTGCCAACTCAATCCTAGCCTCTGAGAGCGCATGTCGTCTGCTATGAATCTGGTTTTTTTGGCAAAGCACCTCCTGCAGCCCGCCAGTTAAAAAAGGCGGCTCAACCTGCAATGAGTATGCTCAAGTTAGTTTCAATGCCTAGACGAAGTGGTTAGCCATGCGGGGACGGTCAGACGATGTTGACCGAACCATCTGCGTGGTTGATGCTGATAGTGTGGGCCGGACAGATGAAGGACGGCGCCGCCCACTCATCATTGGCCGCATTCTAGAGGCAATAACAGTCCTACAAGCTCAGGGCTTCAAAATCATCATTGTCAGCCAGGAGGATTTGTCGAAGTTGAGGCTTGAGACCTCTGTTGATGAATCGAACTTCATGTACATAAAGGCCTTGAATGGCTCCGATATAGACACAATCCGCGCTGCTGCGGATTTTCAATGCTATTTCATGACCTCTGCTGATGTTGCGGTGTCTGATTGGCGCCTTCCGCAAGGGAAGCAGATGTGGTTGCAGCAGAATCCAGAGATGCATGTAAAGTTCACCTTCGAGCCTTCAGGGTTCTTGCCCACTTTTCCTGGCTCCGTTGCAGCGAGCCACGAGGAAGAACAAAACCTGGAAAGAGAGTTCTTGGGACCGGAGGATGGGAAGATTGAGCTTTTGCCAAGCGGATGGATTTGCGATTCCTTGACGCCAGGCATGGCAGTCTTGCCCTGTTCTGCAGAGGTCTCTTCTCATCCTGTCCTGGCTATCCAAGGGGTCGATGAGAAGGACAGTCTTCTCCAGCAAGCCGTCAGCTTGTCCCAAACCCACATCTACAGTGGCACGGAGGAGCTTGAACTGCGTGACTGGAAAAAGATCAAAGGGCCATGGTCCCATGAGCATCTCAGCTCTCACGTTGTGCATGCTACTGGATGTCGAAACCCGCTTTGGGCAGTCGGGTCCGGTAGCAGAAAACAGGCCAGAAGGCGAGCTGCCCATTTGGCACTGGTGGTTACGTATTTCGTATCGAAATCTGCAAAATCTGCTACATGGAATGTCGGTCCGAAGGATAATCGCGAATTGAACTGCCTTGTGGCACGGGCTTGCAAGTTGATTGCACACGCCCGCTCAGTCAGCATCAGTAGCACAGAATCGCAGCACCTTCTGAACCAGCCTGGTTCATCGTTGGTGGAGCTAAGTGCTGAGTCTTTTTCTTCCAATGAACAGTTCAGCAATGCGACACGTTGGCTTGGAAATTCCGGCGGGGTGCAAGTGCAACAGAAGCCAGCCCAATCTTCGAGCCTAACGCAGCTGGATGGAAATCTGGAGCAACAAAGGGCAGCCCGATCTTCAAGACTTGCACAGCTGCATGGAAACTTGAAGGATAGGTTTGTGAATGCAGTAGAGACATCATATCAGCAGCCCGGCAGTGGCTACTTGAGCCTCAAGCCTGGAGACAGAGTGCAACTTCTGTACAACTTTGTCGAGGAGGGGTGTATCTTTGGCCGCCTACTGGGCCCGACGACATCAGCCCAACAACAGGGCTGGCTGCCGACCCATGTGGTCAGTCTTGAGTGATTTTGCCCTGAGCCTGCCAACATTTATGGCTTTACGGCCTGCAGGGTACTGACGTCTAGGGCCACGACATGCAGGTCCTACTTTGTATTCTTAACCCTTGTGTGTGCAGGCGGAAGGCCTGTGAGACAAAGTGGGCTTAGGCCTGCCTTAGCCGTGACAACAAGGTAAAGCCAACAGCGCGCGTGGCTCAAAATGTAGGCTGGCTTGGGGGGAATGTTGTTTTTTGGTTCTCTGGGCATGTCAGAGCTTTCACCGCTAGCGCGAGAGCTGCCTCGGAGGGTCAACTGAGGGCAGGCTTCCAGATGGCCGCTTGCCCGAAAGAATGTGGGCTGCAGGGCATCAGCGTCTTAAGCGATGTTCTGCTTCGTGCCAGCCCCTTTGCGGGCCTTAAAAGGAAGGATCCTAACCCCTTGGAAGGGCAGGGGAGGGAAAGACGCTTGATCGCTGCGGTGGAAAAGTCCGGGGAAGCTGCAACCCAACAAGGGCTGAACCCGGACCGCCAAAAAAGTTGCAGGGCTGCGTGTCCTGGAGGGGAGGGGGGCGGGAACACAACCACGTCCCTGAATCCCGGTCTTTAGATCTAAACCGCAGGACCTCAGACCTCGGTGGCGGACAGCAAACGATTGCTCTACAGACACCCGCGCTGCCTTCTGCTATCTTCTGCTCCAGCACAAAGCTTGCCAACCGAAACTCCTTGCATTGCATGCCGTATTGCAAGCTGTCAGATTCTTGAGAAGCTGGCAAGTGCGCTCCTGAGGTGGTGGATCGCAAGCCTGAGCGGCAGCAGTGAGAATCAGCCAGTCAGCCACGAGCGCAAAAAGCTGACCGAATCATGCCAGGTGTTGCACAAACTTGATTGCAAGCTTGCTGTGCCTGGCATGCAGCTGGCATTGCTTGCTTTCTCTTGTTCGGCTCCAAAGCTTTGGCACGACTGCTGCCAAATGCGTTTGTCAAAGACAGGCCTCCAAGCCTAGGATGTGTGCGGAGCGTTTCCTTCTTTGCGAATGAACGTTTTCTGCAAGTTGTGAAGCAAGACAAACCACAAAGATGCCGGAGTTGGCTGCAGGTTGTTCTCGTTGTACGCTGTCGTCGAATGAGACGAAGCAGCTTGTCCAGTGCTAGATCCAAGTTGAGATATCCACGAGGCAATAATCACACGGTGTTACGTGAGACGCGGGCAGGGATTTTGCCAGAAGAGCTTCTGTGTTGGCAATATCTGAGGCGTGCTGGCACTGAATCTTGTACCGCCTACGCTTTGCCTTTCAGCTGCACGCCAGAACTATACAAACGCAGACAAATTTAGCCTCATGTTCCGGCTTTCTTGCTTTGGACCCACGACAGGTCAGATTCCACATTCGACTTATGGCAAATGCTCTGTGAATACAGCCTGGCCAGGTGCATCATCCTCGGTGAATGCTGTGGCCCAGGCCAGCTGCGGAACAGGAATCCTTTAAAACCATCAGGTCAGCAAGCTGCAGGTTGTCTTGAATGCTGATGGAGCTCCCGAAGCAGAAATTGGGAACGCGCTCTTGCGCAAAGAGCCGCAGCAAAGCTTGATTCAGGACATGGCTGTGTGCCACAAATCGCTGCCGTGCATGTCAATCTATGTGCAGATTTACTCATGTTCGTTGCAAACATGCAAGCAGAAGCGCAAGTGCTTGCCAGGAAGCTGCACTTCAAAATCTGACACAGCAGCAACCAGCAGCAAGTTGCCCGAAGAATCAAGTTGTCTGGTCCATGATATATCATTTTTCTAGTTGCAGGACGGTCACCTATGAGCTTAGGTTTCAACAGTTCGTCAGGCCTGTGGAAGGAGATCCGCAAAAGGGCCAAGGTTACAGCAGTCGAGCCATTTTCCGTGCCTTTCCTGACACAGCCCAATCTGGAGGTTGAGTTTGCACATTGCACACGTGCTTGGATTGCGAAAATCCAGGCAGATGGACCTCCAGCGGTGGTGTACACCGGGCAAACTGCATCAGCTACTCGGCTGGCAGTTACTTGCTTCGACAAGGTGATTAGGAACAAGCTTCTGCCAGCAAAGGCTGCCGCCACAATCCTCATGGGCACCACCACTTGCTTCGCAGCAGTTGCTTGGACAACTCAGTCGACCTTGAAGCACGTCAAGGAGGCATCTGGCTGTAAGTTGCATAAAAGTTGTTCTATTTGAGCCAAAGCTCCATCCTTACGAGGCATCGTGGCAGACACTCAGCCCCGCAATTGCGATCTTCTCCGCGGTCCAGCTGTTATATATTCTTCGACGCTTTGCTGCAGGTTTTGTAGTACTCCGATTTTGGCCTAGCTGCAGTGCTTGCAACTGCAATGCAGCACGCTCGAAAAACAGAAGAAAGCGGCCACTTGCTCCCTACTTGTATGTGTTTCACTCAGGTGAGATGACGAACCTGCTGGTGTCAGACAATATGGCCACTGAGGAAGTTTCACTGAAAGGGTTGAGGCATCACGACTGCACAGTCTTCAAAATGGATCAGAATGGTATTGGCGCAGTTCATAGGACTTTTTTTGTACACCCAGGCAAGAGGATACACCATCCGCTGTTGCAAGCGGTGGTGGCGCAGTACTTGCTACTTGTCAAGCAGTGGCTGGAAGGGAAGCATGACATTGATAAGGGACCGAAAACTGAGCTTGCAATAGAACAAGTTGGAACTCAGATTCCTCTCCGCTGTCACCTGTTAAGGTGGCATTTGCTCGGCTTATCTTGGGCTACGCGGCATTGCAGCTCACCTTCTTCTTGAGCAGGCAGGCAGAGAAGCACAAATCTTGAGGCCCTTGAATACTAATCACGTGGCTTTTGAACGGTGACTTGGCTTTCTCGGTGGCATGTGGACAGGCAGCGGAAGCTCGCGAAGCTTGGCTGCCATCATTCGTGGATCACGTCATTTGAAAGGCCGCAAGCCGCAAGCGCTACACGCCGCAGGATGTCGATAGCAGTCCAGTTTGGATCGCAGCTTGTGGGTTTGTTGTCAGCCGATGCCTTCGCTACGTGGCAGGAGCTTTTCAAGGGCAGCGACTTCAAGTAAGCATGAAGATTAAGGGCAGGCGTCAGCTCACCTGTAGCTGCCAGGAGATGCCATTTTGGAACACAGTTGCCATGAGCTTCGGCTTGGTCTGCATCACAGTCCTGGTGTTGGCCGTTCTATTGCCGCTAGCCGGGCAGCTGCGATCCAAGGCATGCTGAATACTTGCAAAAAGATTTTTGCTCATACCTGTGCTTGCAGTAGCAGGTTATCGGCGATGAGCAGCAGAAGGCCCGGGGTGAGCCATCTTCAGCGTTCGCCATTTCCAACACCGGCTGGGCTGACAAGGAATGCTTCCAGAGTGATGCGCGAATCGCTTCCTTGGCGATCTCGTTGCCCTTCGCACAGCACCTTGCCTGTTGCCCACAGCGACACTCTCCGTTTCCATCGTGTGTGGAAAGAAATGTTGAAGCGAGAGACCCCTCAAAGTTCGTGGCTTTGTGTTTGAGGTTTTGGCGTTTCCTGTTGGCTGGACAGCTGCCTCATTACCTGGGCGTCCAGCGTAGCGGCTATAACAGATCAGCCACTGGGCTTGAACCTTCCTCGCCTGTCAAGCGTTAGCAACGGCTTGAGCTGTGTGCTCGCATTCTGCCTTGCCAGAGGAAACGCTGTTATTGTTCGTCGTTTGGGTTACAATCCTCCTGCTGGCGGTTGGGTCAGACAAGTTGGTCACAAGGCTTCAAGGGCCTCTTCCAGAAGGAGCCTTGCAGACGCTGGAACTGCTCGCGGCCTCCTGATTGGGATGTTTTTGAGTGCCAGGAGCTGGCAGGATACGAAGCATTTTGCACAAGTGCATGTCTGCTGGCAGCTGCGTCCCACTGACTTTGGCCTCGCGTCTTACTTCAGATGCTACTTGTGACTTGTTCATCTCTGTCGAGGATCCATGACAGCACAGCCGCGTCGGAAGAGCGCACAACCAAGGCCTACACATCTGCTTGGTGCTGCTTCTATTGGGCCAAGTGGGCAACTTACTCCCTGATGGTCGGCGATGCGGTGGTCACGGCCGGTTGCTTGACTTGAGACAGCACGGCTTTATGAATTGGTATCGTCGCGTCGGTAACTTTGTCTGTGTCGCTTAGCAACTTTTTTGTGTCGCTTGGCACATTTTTGCAAAACACCCTAAACCTTAAATCCCCTAGACCCTAAAGACCCTAAACCGCCTAAACCCCGAAGACCCTAAACACCCCAAACCCTCAACCCCCTACTGTGTGCGACAGTGGAGAGCGCCTTACCTTTTCCCAGCAATGTCTGGGGTTGCCGGACAGGACAGTTGTTGCCGTGCCTGCACTGCTGTGCGATGCGCGTGTCTAAACCCCCTAAACCCTAAAGACCCTAACCAAACCCAAATGACCCTAAACCCTAAAAACCCTAAACCCCTAAACCCCTAAACCCCTCTAAACCCTCAACACCCTAAACCCTGAACACCTTAAACCGCAAACACCATAAAGACTAGATACCCTAAACCCAAAACACCTTAAACGCCCCCAAACCCTAATTGCCGAATGATGGGGCGGGCTTAAGATATATGACGAACCCAACCCCAAATCCTGAACCCTGAATTGGCCAAGGACCCCCCCAAAAAAAAGTTGCTCCGTGACCCGAGTATCCGAATTAGCTCAGTGAACCGGAAAATTAGCCAGTGACCCCGGAACCACGTCTGTAGCTTCCCGGAACTGTGCAAGAGCCCACCAAGGCTATTTCTTGAAAGCGGAGATGTATGTAGCGATGCTCTTTTCCGTGCTTGGCCTTGCAACAACATACGCCATATTGCACGCACAGGAGACGCCCGGCTTAGAAATCGCTACGGTCTCCTGCATTTCTGGGGTTGAAGTATTATCGTTTTCCAGGTTTCGAAGAGTGGAACTGCGGGGCGGGCTCGGCCTCTTTCTATCAGAATGGAACTTCTATCATTTTTGCGTCTTACCAGGCTAGTAACTGCCTACATGCACTTGGCTCCTGAGGACATGTGTCAATGCTTACAGATCTCTGTAGCAGGCAAGGCTTTTGGTGCGGAATATGCGTCTGAAGCACTCGTAATTCGTGCCGCATTGTACAGCTATATGACATCCTGGCATTTCTGGTCACTTTTCGCTGAATCTGCACAATTCATATAAACACGGCTGTGTACAGCGCACATACTGTACACACCCCAGACTAGGCTTAGCACTCAGTGGTCCAAACCCATCAGCCTCTCAACTCAGCACTCATTCTAAGCCTTAGGAAACGGCCCCTTGGAAGCAGCTATAGGGGTATAGAAATCATTTGTATTTTGTCACGCTCTCATGGCCCCTCAACTTAGGAAGTGGCCACAGATATCTGCCTCTGCAAAGTTGATCTCGGAAGCGAACGTATTTGTCCTGCTCCTTGGGCAGTGTAAAGCGTCATTCAATCCATCTGCTGTTGCACATGAAGACAGTGTTGTTCCCCACATGTCAGCTGGTTCGAAGGGAAAAAGGTCTGCATGAAGCAGTTGAGAGTTCTGGATCTTCTGCCGCAGGCCGCTGTGCTGGAGCAGTACCTTTCAGAGCGCTTGCGCGTTCAGCAAGGAGCACCTGCGGGGCACGAATGCTCTGTCACCCCCAGTTTAGCACACATGGAGCATGCAAGGATACCTCGGCCAGCGAAGCTTTGCAAGTACTTGATCGTTGCCTTCAGTGCCAGTGGATGCAACTCTGCTGCTAAAACATCTTGGCTTTGACATGCTTTGACACGATCACAGTGCGAGGTGCATTCAAATCCTTGTGCCGAGGTAGAGCATTTGACAATAGCTACGGTGCCTACTTTTAACTATATGGAAGGCGGCCAAAGGCTGGTGCCCGCAGAGGTAGTATAAAACATCTATTTAAATCCGGATGTTTAAAAGTTGGTGTCAGGCTCTGAGACAGTGGGAACCCTTCAACCCTTCCAACCCTCCAACCCTCCAACCTTCCAACCCTCCAACCCTCCAGCCCTCCAGCCCTCCAACCCTCCAGCCCTCCAACCCTCCAACCCTCCAACCCTCCAACCCTCCAACCTTCCAACCCTCCAACCTTCCAACCCTCCAACCTTCCCACCCTCCAACCCTCCCAACCCTCCAACCCTCCAACCCTCCAGCCCTCCAGCCCTCCAACCCTCCAACCCTCCAACCCTCCAACCCTCCAACCCTCCAACCCTCCAACCCTCTAACCCTCCAAC